GCTGCAGTGGCATTGTTGCGTTAACGATATATGATCTAGTGTCATCAAGAAATGTAATTTCAGTTTTTACACTTTACACAATATGCTAAGAAAAAGTGCTGCTGTGGGTAAGTTGTTGCTCATGTTCACATTTTGTGTGTCAACCACAGTGCTGTTGCATTTGACCTGCAGCCTTCTCGTGTCTCATTGCACTGTATGGCTTAGAAATAATGCAGGTGGATCAGGACCTCGTGGCCTGACTCACAGACTACCTCACAGACCACAGTGTGTCAGGCTGCATGGCTGCTTACCAGATGCAACACTGGCACACCCCAATGTTCTGTTTAACCTCTACACCTCTGACTACACCACCACATTGTCCTGTGCCAAATTTGAATTTCCCTGGAGATCATTAAAGGAACATCTTACATTTTTTTTCCTTATTGCTCACCAGATATAATATGATCACAAGATAGCAAATAGCAGGACACAGGCAACATTCAAATTCAATCATTCTAATCCAGTAATTTAATATACTGTATATTATTCTGAAATTGATCATTCTGCAAAATAAGTTATTTTACTTTTGGTACTTCATTTTGATCCTATTACTACTTTTAGTTGAGCAAAATTTGGAATGCAGCAGGACTTTTACATGTAACAGAACTGAGCACTTCTTCCACCACTGTTTGCCCTGCGTTTCACCATCTATTGCATTCAGAGCTTTCTTAAAAAAAAAAAAAAAAGAAAAGAAACCCATCACAGCCAACAGCAAAGTCTTTCCAGATGTTGTTCCAGTTTGAGGCGGATCGAGGACGCATAGGGCAAACAATCATAATAAGCTGGAGATCACATGGAAGATTTAAATAACCTGTTCTAGCTCAAGTTCAACGCCAGCACCGTCAGGTTTCGGCTTGTACATTTTTTGCACCCGTGGTATTCGGATCTTTCCTCTCCAGCGGCCCAGCGCGCGTCCCCACATGCGCATGCGTCCCTGTGCTGGGAGGAAAAAAGGGGAACGCGCTGTAACAGAGAGAAAGCGTTCCAGTAAACCGCTATATCTGCGTGGGGACTTCATGCCCGCCACGCCAACACTAAACTGCTCTCCGCGGTTCTTGCTTCCGCTATATTTGTTCATAGGGATGAGCTTTGATGCTCACGCCACATCCTCGCTTCTGTCCGTGTGTGCGCTTTGCTGGCGGACACATATTTCTCGTTTTCCCACGCAGTGATTGTCACTGAAAGCAACGTGAACTTGGTTGCAACATCACTGTACGGGACAACAGGCTCGCTCCACGGATTAAACCTCATCTGTCGGGCAGCAGTGCTGGTGAGTAGTACTGTTAAAACCCTTCCCGAGGTAACATGCAGCGGGGAGCCTCTCTCTCTCTCTCTCTCTCTGTGTGTGTGTGTGTGTGTGTTAGGAGTTTTTGTACATATTTGTAAGGGAGGCATGACACACTGATCTGGTGTAACTGGTCCCCACTGGATCACAAGATATCAAATTTAATTTGTGTGGCTCCAGTCTTGATTTGTCCATTTGTGTCTGTTACCTTTCCGGATTGTTTGGTTGGATGGATGGATAGGCCTTCACTGTACACTGTAGACTGGGATGGAAAAGGCTTGGCTGCATTATGTTGGTGAAGGATAATGACATATTCTTGAATGTATTCAACCACAGACAGTTATTATGTTCCCTGTGATCAGTGGCAATGCATCTAACTTGAAGTGGAATTTAAGTTACAGTCTGACACTAAACCGGAGCCTCGGCTTTGTTTCTCAGCAACTCTAATAATCAGGAAATGTGGCACTGGTCAATACAGATAGTCCAGAGACCAAGGAGCTGCAGTGGCATTGTTGCGTTAATGATATATGATCTAGTGTCATAAAGAAATGTAATTTCAGTTTTTACACTTTACACAATATGCTACATACTCCTGAAAATATAACACGGTATTTAACTGAAAAGTACATGCTTGGTTTGTTTCAGATCTACTTTCGATGTTTACATAATTTTTCATTTGGTACCTTTAACCAATATAGGCTGGCACCGTTGCTCTTTACAGCAGTGGGTTAGTTATGGCTATGAGCCCTTACATTTATGGCTACCCTCACATCAATAAACTGTTATGTTGTTGAATCAATGTCAGATGTTCAGTTATGATGTACACTGAATCAATACTGCTTCTCCCATTATCCAAAAAGGTGCCCAGGCTTGGATTTTAGTTCATTTGGATATTTTGAGACAATGTCACACTAACTAACACATTTTAAACTTTGCTTTTTATTAAAGAAAGCTTACTGATAAACAATTCCAAAAACTAAATGGCAGTGGGATCAGTTTTAATATATATATTTTAATGTAAAGAAATCGCAAAATTGATATTAATAAACCCAGCAAACTCAAGGGGAAACTGTAACATTTATATGAAAACCTACCCATCCTAGTCATATATGAACTTAGATGATATTTTATACATATTAGTCAACTCAAAATGGCCTTTTATTGTTTTTTTTTTGTTTCTTTTTTAGTAGACAATTTAATTAGTATTTAAAAAGATAATTATTTACATTACTGAATACAGTCACTGTTCAAGTGTTAGCATATCACTTAAAAGTGCTCATCTTGCATTCACAGCGGAAGCTTATTGTAGAGTGTTTCCTGTAGATAAGCTTGCACGTCCGGCCTTTAGGTTGATGTGACAAAGGGGTTTAGTCTGCACCTTGATTGCAGTTGGACTGAATTAATAAAATAATAACTTATACTGTACGATACATAAAAATTACTAGAGGTAATGTTTGTAAAGTTAGCTGCAAACCTAGTGAACACATCTGTTCTCACCAAATTACTATACTATACTATATAAACCTTACCTTACTTCATTGTAAATTAGGCAGAAGCTTGGTGTTTGCTGGTGCCAATGAGACTGAAAATGGGACTGTATTTTAACATTAGACATGCTAATGAATAGCCTAATGCTAGCACACATAACAGCAAATGCAGCCACATTACAGTCATTCATTTAACCGAGCAGCTCTCAGCAGATATGAGAATGAAAACAAGATGGCTCACTCGTTATCTACCTTCGATCTTCCATCATCAGCTCCAGAAAAGAAACAATGTGTTTAATTCAGAATGTGACAGATACAGTTTAAAGTCTTCTTGATGCATTTCTGAGACAACCATGGACCATATGGATATTTGTACAAAATGTACAAATCTGATCGAATCAAATTGTGGTACTGTACAACAAGCACACGTTTCAGATAAGTTAGTTAATGTTAGCAGAAGTGGTGTACAGTTTTCTTTTTGCAGAAGCTGATAGTAGCTAACAGATATCTTATTTCCTACCCACCTCTCTTGAGTCGCACATTGGCAGTACGGATCGGGCAGGAGTTACACGTGCACGGTACTGATCAGGCAGAAGGTATACATCAGCCTCCGCCATGGTGAACAGTTTTCTATAGTAGCCCAGAACGGACAAACCAGACACTGCCTCTAGACAGGGCCTTTCGCAAGTAGCGTAGTTTCTCTAACAAACCTGGAACGGGAGGGTGTGGCAAGGGCGTTGTCATCCGCAACTAAACCACTACATACCATAACATCTTACACACTGGTCTTTCAATTAAAAGATAAAACTTATCTCTTTCACCACAGGCTGGTGCGATGTTTGGCACTTTGTATATAACATTTTAACTAGGGGAGGGCTTAACTGTGTCTTCTAGATTTCCCTCCAAAAGACTTTTAGATATTTTCCTCATTAAAGGTAAATTATTTAGTGTTCTATGTCATCTGAAACTAAACAAGTTCCTTGCATTGCAGAGAATTGCTTAATTAAGTGCTAAGTCCTCCTGCAGCAGTGACGGATTTGAATCCGACCGATGTGCCTTTGCTGTGTCTTATACATCTCTCTCCTCCTTTCCTGTCATTCTACATCTGTCACCATCGATTAAAGGCAGTACAAGTAGAAAAAAAAACAGCTAAAATGGTTGTCTAAAGTCTAACTTTTATTATTATGGTGGGAAAATTGGCAGGCACATTGAGACAGTATTGATTAAATGTTTATGAGTGTTGAAAACATAATCCAAAAATGTTAGTTCCAAATGTTAGAACTGGGACTGTGGTAAAATTGTTGATGGTGTCACCAAGTTGTTAAATATATTATTAATATTGACTTAATTTCTTTTATAAATATGACTCTTTTTTTCAGGCTGTTGTATTGTCGCAGCAGATATGCAAGAAGGAACATACATGTAGGCAAGTGCACAGATGTTGTGATTAAATGGGGCTCAGAGATGTTCTGCACATGGCAACTTGTAGCAAATTAGCTGAAAGACCACAGTATGCCCTTTGCAGTTATGACTCAGTCCTGCTTGAATCAATCAGTCTATCTTAAAAACTCTGATGAATACGCATCTGCCCTCAAAACATTCATCTCATGGAAATGTAATCAGACTCTGGCACGCTGGTTACGGCAGTGAAGGCCTCTAAAAGTCCTTGGGGGACATCTTGTTATTGAGTTTAGTCACATTTAGCCCTATAAGAGTACATTTCATAAATTATGAATATTTACAATAGTAACTGATGACAAGGGCCTTTTACTAGACCTCGGTTTTGTTGTGGAATCACATTATTTCAGTTTAACAATGTGATGAATAAATGTGTTGATTTGTTTACTTGAAGGGTGCAGGACACAAGGAGGAGCAGGACCCACAGCTTCTTTTTTTTGCCTCAAGATCCCCAAATGGGCTAATCCATCCTTAATTATAAGAATGGCTTTTGTAATGAGAAGTTTTCTCTGTTAATATATATCTTCTGGTAAAAATCTCCTTACATGAGTGGTCAGATTTTTAACTGAACAATAGTGGTTCTTAACAACAAAAATAAACTCTATCTATGAAAAAGACAGTGATAAGGCAATGCATGTGTTGCCTTTTGAAAGTCACATCCCATTGAATATGGAATTGATTATAATGTTATTCTGTTCACCTTCACTTCTCATATTCCGGACCTTTCACTGCCATACACACAGATTAGACCTCCCAAATGGTCCTCCCAAACCCTGCATGCCATCCCAAGGTCAACACTAAAAAACAAATGAGACTTCCTGCTACAGCTCCCACCTCATAAAACAGCCTTCCAGAGTAAATTAGTCACTGTCTTTATTCAAGTTTGATCTAATCTCACTATTACACAGTTGAATTGTATCCTATCCTGTGTGGGATTACTTTATTTGTGTACCACACTTTGTAACTACGTAACAATAAAAGTATTTTTCTTATCATATTAGCAGAGTTCAGTATGCAGCCATCGTCTTTCTTACTGCATTGCCATTTGTTCTTTGATTACACGGATAGTACATGCACAACAACTACCTATAGTTGCGTCACAATGTGTGGTCCATTGCAGTTAGGAAGGACCGCAAAGGCCCAAAAAAAAGGAATCTTGGTTCAGTATGTTAGTGTGTGAACCGTCTGTGATGACCAAATGGAAATGGTCAGCTTCTGCCAAAATACAACTGAGCAAACGTTCTCCATAATTACGACCAGACAGATTTCCAAAGCAGTGAGTAGGGCAAACATACTGAGTCACTAAAGAGTTTCCTGGATGTGTGCTGACACACACACACACACACACACACTATTGTCAGATTGATAGTTACACAACTACTTACCAAAATTACAAGTGATATTCTGATTGTAATGCCATGTATATCATGATATATTAGGTATGCAAATCTTTTTTGAAACATCATATCTCATTTCTCATGTCAATGTCGTTTCCATCATATTTGCAAAAATCTCAAAACATATAGAAATACCCACAGTTTATTTCATTTTTACATCAAGAAGAGTGCCCTGTCGCCATCATTAAGAAGACTTCACCGCCAGTATGAATCACATGCTGCTGGCTAAGAGAGCTTGACTATGTAAGATGTGATCTGATTAGTGTGAGTTGGCATGAAGTCTTGCAAGAAAGCAAACCTGCTTTTCTTAGTTTTGGTGGAGTTCCTGTTGGGAAACAGTTACATTATCGAAGGCTTTCCCCATGTTCCAGGCAATCATCTTTAGCTATCTTGAGCAATAGGGGAACATCCTGAGAGCATAACTCCAAATATTATAATACTTTCTAATAATAATTTGGTTGACTTTCTGTGTATGCTTAAGAATATAGTAGTTACACAAGTTAGTTTGAAATTCAAAACTCCAAGGGACTTCTGAAACACATTTCCTCTTGAGACAAACAAGAATGGAAGGAAAAAAATAAAAATAAAATTCTAAATTGTGGATAACAGAGGGTTGAGAGAAACATGAAGCTGCATCAGTTATGAAACAGTTATGGTCCATGTCAGTTACAGCAGAAGTGATACAGCAAAATGCAGTGTCATAAGTGTGGAAATAGGTGTTCAGCTGTCCCAGTGTGTAAGTGTAGTGGTTCCTAACCTTTTCTGTCTGTATGTGTCCCTTGTCAGATGAACTCAAGTGTCTCTTTATCAACACCTCCCCTTGTACTGCGAGTGTGTTCATTTGATCTGATTTCAAACTGGGTGTTATTTCATTATTTGAAAGTTGACATTGTCATAACCCCCCCCCCCCNNCCCCCCCCCCCCCCACAGGGAATCACCACGTCTCATCTACTGTACATTCTATAAACCCATGGCTCCCCGAACATGCTGTTTCTCACGCAGACGCTTTTTGAACCAAAAAGGGTTGATTATAGCCTCCAATTTATTTGAAAGCTATTCTTCATAAATCGCTCAAAACGTTTCAAATGGGCACCAGATTTAGCTCTTTTCACTGGATTAAATTCTGGGATTATGTGTTTTAGGGTTGATTTTCTATTTTGAGCAGTATGTACATGTGATTTTCGTTAGAGGGTGTGTCTGTTGTTGAGCGAAATCAGCTAGAAGGTGAAAGGGGCGTAGAGAAGAAGGTAATTTAGAGTCATCAATTATGTCTATGCCGACTACGTTGCAAGGACTTCATATCGACTTCATAAATCTTACAATAAATATGTTAAGTCTTGCATCATTCTGTGTTTAATGATTATTAATGGTACAAGGACCTTTTGTCATGGTGGTTGTCGTGTGTGTGTGTGTGTGAAGACACATGCTCACAACTCAAAATTAATACAAGGTACACTCCTCATGCATCAGTTTGATTAGTAATATTGATTAACATGAATCTAATAAGTTATTTGTTTACATCCTCACTCAACACAATAGACCTCATATTGATACCACCCCAAGTATGGTGATATACATACTTATTTGTAATTAGCTTAATTAATGACAACAATAACCTAAACATTAACATCTTTGTCAGCCCTAACCTTCTTTGGGAAGAAGGAACTTAACATTTTCCCATGCAGTGCTTTTGCCAGAATTGCTTCCCTGACTCATCTTTAATCACTACAGTGTGTGACTGAGCTCTTTAAGTGGTCTGTTTGCATTTCTTTCGAGATCCACACTTCGTCTTGTAGAAATGCTTTAAGAACCTCAGGGGTGAAGGGCATTTCTGACAGGGCTAAAACTTACAGTGTCAGTCAGCCGGCCCAGAGCGCCTAATGGCATTGCACAGTGCAGTGCTTGACCCCTTCTGCTCTCCGATTCCCAGCCAGCCCTCCATCCACCCTCCTCCCCCACACACTGTATCACACACAGTCAGCTATTGTGCTGCTTTGCTCTTGTGTTGCCTGTGGTGTCTGTGAGGAGGTCCGGTGCCTTTTGTGCCTCCTGTGCTTCATGCTCCTGGGAGCTACAGTATGTCCAGCTGTTGTAACTCCCAAAAATGCTGGGTGGCGGTGATAGGCAAATTTGATAGAGGGTGATAGGGCTATAGGTATAGGGCTTGTTAAGTCTATAAAATTCCCATCAAACTGACATAGTTGCATTGCATTTTTTGTCCAACTATCAGTCCAAATAACCAATAATAAATCCATAATAATCATTTCAGCATTAAATATGAAATGAAAAAAAAATCTGTGAAAATGAAAAGATCAGCCCATATCACGGCTCGTATGCCTGTATTTTAACGTATATCATTTGATAATGCATATGAAGTTCATTTATGGAGTTTCCTGTTTAGGAGTTCGTTTTTAGTTCAGTGACAAGTAGAAAAGAAGGTTATCAAGTTAATTGTGTAGATATCCATTCGCTTTCATGTCACGTCAGTCATGTTTTGCTTTTACTACAGGGAGAACGTCAGCCTCATTACATCTGTACCACTGAAGATTTAATCATTGGAAATGAAAGAGGGAAAAGGTAAGATGTTCTGTAGCATGTTGTAGTTTTTTTGTTAATGTATAATGAGTGGCGGTATGGTTCCCTCGGTTTACAATGAGGTTAGACTGAGAAGCTGCATATTTCCACATTTGAAAAACTGTGACCAGCAAATGTTTCAGCATTTTCGGCAAATGATGTCACTTGATTAATGGGTTAAGCAACTTGGGCACAGCCAATACATGCCCAGAACAGTTGCATCATGTGCTACCTCGCCGAAGCACAACAGAGAAGAGGGTAAAAAAATCATTTTGCTTGTTTCATAAAAGACAACAATGTTGTTTGAGGTTTGCTTGTCTACACATTCGTTAGTGTTTGTATCTTTTCCTAAACAATAACTTAGATAACAAAGACAGCCCAGCCTCATATCCGGTGCAGGATGAAGACACACCCTTTCCGTTATAAAGAACTAAACACTGATTCTGAAGGCTGCAGTATAATATCATATTTTATGTTTACAGGGAGGGACTTGAGTGTCCACATAATGCAGCGTAAAATCTGCAGAACGTCCCTGTGGTGGTGTTAATTGATCATGTGGTCTCCACTCCCTTGCTGTCTCCAACTTTGAGTGGCCATGATTTACTAGCAGCTTTACAGCAGTATTAGATTACTGTTGTTGCAATGTAACAACCATACACATACATAGACATTTAAAAATAGATATTCAGCTGTGCTCTTCTGCAGTGTGCTATTGATTTTAAGTGCTGAAGCAGCGTCAGGCATGTTCAGTGCAACTACTTGGTTATAGATGCCTCTGGCCTCAGGAAGATTGTGGATAAGATGTGCATTGTGCATTAAATAGTCTGATGTATGTAGCGTTGAATGCCTTTTAATCTGATCTAAGCCGTAATCTGAACTCTCCGAAGCACAGTTGAACCAAGCATAGTGCAGAAGCTGATGTGATGCTTTAGATCCTCTTAAACGGATCAGCCTTCATCTGCTGCCCCTCTCTCTCTCTCAGCTTCTATCTCTGTCTTTCTTGTATTCTTTTGTTCTTACCTCTTATTCTTTTGAGTGTCTTTCCCCTCTTTTCTGTGCACCCTCCTGCTGTGTTTTTTGCTTCCTTGCATCAGTGCGTGTGTGTGTGTGGTTGGGTGTGTTATTAACTGATGTGTATATAAGTTTACAACATTTCCTCTTTCCTCTTTCAAACCACCTGCTCAGAAGGGGAGTAGGTAGTTTAGAAAGCCGTTAAGATAGCCGTTCAGAGGAGGTGCTAACAAATGTGGTCTCTCTCCTTTGCGTACCCGTCACCAGGATAACCTCATGCACTATGTAGACATGAGAGGCCCTAGGAGCACGTGAAGATGTCCCAGAAGGCAACTAAAAGTAAGCTGTTTTGCTGTGATTTTTTTTTATTTTTTTTATCTGAGCTAATGCTAAACATCTACTACTACAGTTGGCAACAACAGTGTTTTTGCTGTGTTAGGAGAAATTTCCGTATTGTGTGGGTCATATGGCAGTCGCAAAATGGCTTATACACACCAAGAAATGGATGACAATTGATAAGCGCGTGTATCATGACCAGACAAACAATACAGTCTCTTGGACCCAACAGGAGGTCGGCCATTTTGAAATTTGGAATTTCAGTGATTTTTCACATTGTATTTGAACTCCTCCGCGGGAATTTATCGGATGTACGTCTGATTTGGTCAGTGCAGTCTAAAGATGTTCAGGATTAAAAGTTGGGCTGTTTGTACATGTGCATCAAACGGCGTATAAGTGCCAAGAAACAGGAAGTTGTCATTACTTAAGTGTACTTTGTCCAGTCTCACTAAAACTTCACATGATAAGAGTCCTGCCCTGAACATATCTATGTACCATTAATCTGTCATTGTCAAAGCGCCACCTACTGGAAACAGCTGACACATAACGCAACCCCAGAGGGCCCTGACGTGCGCGGTATGCAAGAGCCCGATCATTACAGCTTTTATTGTGTCTTCTCTTTTCCAGTCTTTTTGCTAAGCTAAGCTAACCAGCTGCTGACTGCAGCTTCATATTTAGAGTACATCAGGTGATATCAATCTTCTTAACTAACTCTTGGAAAGAAGTAAATAAAATCGTCCTGTCCCGCTGTAGTCGGATAATTTGCTTAATAAGCTTAAAATATTTGATCACACATGAATTGTGTATGAATTCATGGAGGTAAATGTACTTCTCATACTGACTGTCAAAATTCAAAAGCATACCACTGAAATTCAGTACAGGACAGACATTCATAGTGTGTGTAATATCTATAAATGGAAGAAATAGAGACGATGAGTATCTTGAAGATATTTTAATGCTGATGTGGTTACACTTCCTGTCTTTGAACAACTCATTATGGGGTTTTCCAAAACTCTTAACGCTCTCAGTCACGCTCTCTCACTCACTCTCTCACTCACTCAATCTTGATTCAAACCGAAGGTCACAGAACTTGTGATTACAGTGCATATTAAATTTTCACTCATGTGTCTAAAATGTGACTGGTAATTGCAGAAGAAGTCTTATTGAATAGGTTAATGTGTTTAAATTGAATTTTTTATGTCAATCTCTGTTATTAAACGGAAACCACATTGTTTGTAGTGCTTACTATAGACTAATGTAGTTGTTTCAAAATAGCATCAGATACTGGAAAGCTATTAATAGTCATTTCAGTTTTACTTTTCACTACTGATCTTGGTACTACACCTGTTTGCAATGAGGTTGAGCTTGAGGTTATATTACACGACAGCTTTAGTCACTGCAGTGTCTTTCACATGAAAACAAATTGAAATCTCACTTTTAAGTCATACTGTGTGGTATGTGAAATTTGATGATACAGATTTTTAATACATGTATGTTTGCCTCTGTTTTCTTCCTCTTTGACTCCAGCATGGTGCCTTAGGCTTGTCCCAGTTCTCCTCTTCTTCATCTCCTTTGTCACATACTACTGTTCCTATGCCATACTGCAAAGGTAATTACACACACGCTAACACAACCATTTCTTTCTTTCTTCTTTCTTTTCTCAGTTGCCCTGGTATTAAGGTCACACAATTACATAAATGCCCATTTCTGGTAAAAGAAAAAAGTAAGCATGAGGTCTGTGCAGTGCTGAGTCACTAAAAGTTAAGAAGACAACCCACATTCTGATCATCCGGTGGTTTGAGCTGCTGGTCAATTTAGGTCCTCACATATGCCCATTCTTGCACTTTTTGAGTGTTCTGGACCAAGTTACTGGCACACTGTGTTTTTATGGATTCAGCAGCAGTTTTCATGCCAGTTGTGGTGATTGTCTGTGTTTCAGCTACGGAGGCACCAGCAAGTCTCTGAACAGTAGCAAGTCGCTGTGTGGTGGCTGGCTAACCCAGAAGAAGTGGGAGAGCCTTAACTTTAAGTGAGTAATGGCATGTCTGTGTTTTTTTTGCAAACTGGAGGGAGTGGATGGCTTATTAAGGGAGAAAGGTATGCCAACATTTTTATTTGAACATGAGGTGCCAGGCTTCTTGGAACTGTTAGGACTGCTCCTTCGCAGTCTTGAAGGAAAAGCATAGTTTAGTGAGAAAGAACAGGACTTATTATAAAGAATGACTTTCCATCTAAATCATCATCATTGCCGTAAGTTTCTGTAACTCAAGTGGAATGCGTTGACGAAATGGTTGAGAGGGAGAGTTGATGTAAAACCTAATGTTGGCTAAGAATTAGCTCTTGATAAAGTTGCATTTTTCAGAGCCAGACAATAGCTTGTTTGTCCTCCTCAGGTTCTGCCTTGTTAAATAATCATTGTTCCACAGCCCTGACCCCCCTCTCATTTATTTTCTCTTGCTCTATTATCAGTTTATCCAGCTGTATATTTACTTTTGATCTTTTTGTGGGCTCTATTCTGTTACAAAATAGTGATATGGTCTCCATCTGTGGTGTGTCCCAACCTCCTCTAAGGTCACTGTTTATTTCTTCAGCTCAGAAGACCTTCCACTTTCTGCCCTTTGACCTTTTAAACAGTCAAGATTCATGTCCTCTGTGTTCACTCCTGTAAAAGAACATGACTTGCATTCTCACATGATGTTGCTGGTTGCTTGTTCTTGGACTTTCACATCAGTCATTACAGTCACAGGGAGGCCTTCTAGGCAATCACAGTGACATTTCTCTAATTAGATCCCTCCCTGGGATTTATCCTGATCTCCTGCGAAGAGCTAGCTGGCACACAAGGATAATAAATGTCTAAGAGACTCACTGTCAAAGACAGTAGGTCATAAACGGCTGGAGTCTGAAGCCAGCGAACACAGAAGAGCAACAGTTTCACATATTATAACCTGACACATTTGTCTCACTCCACAGGCTCTGTCAACGAAATTCTTTTCTTTTTCCCTCTCCTGAGGAGATAAATACCAACAGCAAGTTTTAATAAGGGAAATTGCTATTGAATGAATGACATCATGTAAATGGCTGGTTTGCTTATGGGTCTGTTTTACCTACTTAATAGATACCAGTACATTTGGGAAAGTGCACATCAAGCCTTTCCATGAGCCAGAATGAACACTTCTGTTTGGCATCACTGTTAGTATTGTCCATTGTGTGCTTGTAGTCCTTCATCCCTACTGTCTCACGCCTCATTCATATCCTGCCACAAACCTTCCTGTAACATAATTCATCTATACAGTGAAACCCTGTGCGCTGCCGTATTAATGTTATAAATCCTGCTCTGACATTTTTCATACAGCATTAGCAGACAGACACAGCTCTTTCTGAAACTGGAGGATTTTTTCTGGCGGGAGCATCTGTCAAATCTGGCATTACCTTATGGCATTAAGGGCAGTGGTAGGTTGATTTTACATTATCCTCTGCTCTTTCTGCTCAGTCTACTCTTTCTACTCTCTTTCAACATTTTCAAACATCTACACCTCTTTCTCACTTTCCCTTCCAGAGCTGCTGCTACTGAAAGTCCTGGCTGTAACTGCAAATTATCAGTTGCCAGCCAACATTGAAAAGTAAGTGCAAGCCAACCTGGAACTTTGATATTAAAGGTCAGCGTTTTATTCCAATAACCCAGGTTTCAATTATTTATTAGCCCCTATTGTGTTTAATTTTATTTGACTGATTCCATAGTGCAGAACAATAGTCATTGTAGAGTGCTAATAATGAAGGATTGGCACCAACAAATGTAATAACACACATAATTAACACTACAACAGGAATATTTTTCTAAACTTTGTTAGTGGTTGAAAACATGTTCCTGCTTTGGTACATCCTGTAATATGTGTTTAGTGTTCATGATTACTGGGATTATAGGTACTTTTAGGTTATGTACCATTAGGTAGTTAGGGCTTTATATCGAGCCACATAACTGTTCTTCATAATCAATAAAGCATCCTCTAGTGATAGTTATGAATAAGTTGTGAGTTATGTTTCTAAAGGATGGTATTTGGTTTCTGACTATACAAAACTCATCTCAGGACCTGTGGGAAACATTATGCATGAGCATAAATGTGCCACATTTGAACTCTGTGTGTGTGGTGTTTTTTTCCACAGCCTTGAATGCAGAACCTGTGCAGTCATAGGCAATGGTTTTGCCATTAAAAACAGCTCCTTGGGAGGCATCATCAACAAATATGACGTGGTCATTCGGTAAGCACAAAGGAGAACGTCCTACAAAAATATTGTTATAAGTACTATGAAAGTTGTCATAGTTGTCAGTTGTCGTTATTACTGCTAACTATTTGACATGCTGTACACACCGAAGAGGAAGTACAAGTTTTACAAACTCACTTTACTACATTTTGATTACACTCCAAGCTGTGCATTTTTAGAATGTGACTGCACTATAATTTCTATCTTACAAAGTCTGACCAATTAAAAATAGTAATACGATTTTTAAACCCAAGACTTCTTCATATAACCACCTTCATGTTTCAGGATTGTTAGCACTGAAAAGTAAGGAACACACTGATCCTTGCAAATTATAAAGGGAATGTGGTGAAAGTACGATATGAATTCACTTGGCTGACTAATGATGGACATTATCCGACTGTGTGACCGTCTGACCCTGACATAGAGCTGTTCGCTCAGCAATTAGCAAACTTTTGGGTCAAGTGAAGTTCTCTAATGGAGAGAAGAAAGCATTTAGTTTACACAGGGACAAAGACACTCTGCAAATCTGACTTTACAGCCTTGGAATGAACACATGCATTCTGAGTTTTTATAAGCCTCTTTCAAACAGCCAGAATTTGGCCTGGCCACAATGCATTTTTCTCCCCCCATCAACCCCCTCTCCCTCACATCTCTCCCTCTCTTCTCAGAAGCTAATCATTCCCTGGCCAAGTAGAGTAAGGTTATTGACATTCAGAATTCAATGCATGCCTGAGACTTTGACGTCATCAGCCTATTTCTGTCATAGAAACACCGTTGGACTCTATTAAAACCTGTCGAGACTTGAGTTTCCAAAGTGCAAACTAATCATTCAACCAAACAAGGCCTCAGTCTCTGTTACTGTGTTAGTTATTTGGTAAAGGAATGAGTTATGTGGTTTTTAGAACTTTTATATTATATGGGGTTGTTTGGATGAAGCGCATACTGATATTTAAGCCCTATAGTGCGAGTTAGTTGTCCTGTTTGCAGCCCTTTTTATTATTTTATTACATTTGTTACATCAGTGGAGCGAGAAGAAGGAACTCAGTACGAAAACATCCTGGTTGCTGACTTAATGGCACACAACCAACATCAATATGCTACCAGGACACAACAATCGACATGCACCACTTACTACCAGTCCGGCATTTATAGTTCTTTTATAGTGTTGAAAGCTTCAGGACACTTGCACTGCTTGCCCCGATAGAAGCTGTTTAGCCGCTGTCACAAATACAGCGGAGGTGGGGAGTGCACCAAAAGACACAGGTTGAAAATTTGGCCCTTTATGCTCAACATTTCAAAGGTCGTGATTTGACTATGCTTGCGATTAAACAAAAAACTGCAAAAATGGAAATCCTTTAGAACACAAACCTGAAAATTCTTGTCCCTGAATGCAGTATTGTGCCCCTGCCTCAGGTTGAATGATGCCCCAGTGAGAGGCTATGAGGAGGACGTAGGAAACAAGACCACCATGAGGTTCTTCTACCCCGAGTCGGCCTCTTACAACCCTGGACTGCACAACGAGCCCGGAACACTTATGGTCATGGTGCCTTTCAAGCAGCAAGATCTACGGTGGCTCAAAGAGATCCTCTATAATGAGAAGAGGGTACAGGATATGTGTGAGAATGCACTCTCTCGCACACAAACACACACACACACAGCCACATGCCTTTCTTCTCCTTTCTTTCCCTCCCCCTCTGCTTCACATAAACACACTCCTCTTAGCTTCTTTTTTCAGCCCTTGCCAGCCATCCATATCAGGAATAAATACTTAAAAGGTTCAACTTCAGTAATGCCAGTGCCCTTCAGAGTTAAATGTAGTTTCCATCTCAGACACCCTTCACTCTGTTGCTCCCGGCACCTCCGGCCTCCTACTGCTAATAGTTGCAGGGTCATTACTTGCTAATTTGCACATTGATTTAGTTGCCTCCAGACACGAGGGAGTCATAGGTTCAATCGCATCCCTGTTTGTGCAAATGAACTCAGTGTGCTTACCAAAAATAGCAAATCTGTCACTCTCTCTCTGTCCTTTTCCTGTCCTATCCTGTGTCTCATCTTTCACCATGTTTATGTGTGCACTCCAGGTCAGGAAAGGCTTTTGGAAGCCCCCTCCCCAAATCTGGCTTGGTGACGTCAGTAAAATCAGAGTGCTGGATCCCCACTTCCTGCACCAGACTGCCGACCGACTGCTCCGGATCCCTCTGCATCCCAAAAGTAAACAGGTGAGAGATCACTTCTACCTCATTGGAGTCGGAATCATGAAGCTGCAGGCGTGCATATCACAAGAGGTTTTGGTTCAGGTCCACACCAAATTGTTGACCTCAAACCTAACTGTGGTGGTGATGCTTCTCCTCTGTTGCCGCTCATTAATATCGACCATTTCTGGCATTTTCAGCTGAATTTTCCCACCAGAACCTTCTCTCTTGTTTGTTCCCTGTCTCTCATACCTCCCTTTTTTCCCTTTTTGCCCTTCGCTACTTCCCACATGAATGTTAACAAGGCTGGATGGAGCATCCACTGATTAGCCACAGCTCCTCGAGTGATATGCTTTGAGCGCTGTGATAAACAGTTACTGCAAGAGGCATTTCTCTTGAAATGTAGCTGGGTCAATAGCAATTTTGTAGATCCAATTACTGCAAAACATGATGAAGATTAGCTTCTGCTTGGCACTCTGGCATCTCATTACAAGATAAGCTCTGCATGTCTTCTGGGCTGCACAGTGAATCTCACGGAAATAATTGGCTTTTGAAGGAAAGCCAGAATAGTGTGTAAATTTTAACCAGATGCTCTGTTTTTAGAAAAAGCACAGTTTCCAGTGTTTCCAAGCTGATTATTACTGTTTTCTCAGAGAAAAGGTCTGGATTTTGTGACCGCCACTGTTTTTTTATGAGGTCAAAGTTTAGGTTATCTTCACTGAGCATGTTTTATTACTTTTGGCTCAAAGAAACATATGAAATAAAAGGATAAAGTAAAGGAATGAGGAAATATCGTCAAAAAAACACAACAAACAAAAGTGAAATTATAACCGTAAACTCACTCACAAAACTACAACCAAAGAGCAGCGATTTTGCAATGAGAAAACATGACGCGTGACATTTTTTGCTGTGTACCAATTGATCTGTTTTTGTTCCACATATTGGACCTCAACTCCCTCCTCTTTGGCTGAGGCGATTGGATTTTGAAACACCCTGTGATTTGACGTGGACTATTACTCATGTAGAATGAAGCTTTTACTGGCCCATTGTAACCCATCTGCCATGTGTGACTTGTTGTGTGTTTGGTGGGGATTGTCTCTGAAATGGGCCCGAGCCAAGTTTTGTTTTGGTTCTGCTTGTTCCCCTCTTCTGAGCCCTTTTTTGTCAAAGAGTGGGTGTATTGCCCTTTTGGACTGTAGTACAAACAGAACTGGCTGGTGCATGAAAAGAGTGAGCAATGGGAAAGGCAGCGACCCTACAGGCGATCAGCGGTCTCGCCCAACAAGAGCTCTGCGCCATCTGCACAGACTGTATGGAGAGGGTCCGGGGAAGAGGATGGTGAGCAGGACAAGTAGGAGAAAGATGGAGGGAAGTACAGACAGTTACATGTTGCTTCTGAAACTGATTTGACTTAATGCAGTACTGCAAATATATATATTTACCCTGATTTCACATCCTTAACCCAATAGATTTCCCTTATCTTGTCTAATTCTGTTATTTTTCTCTTTTCTGTCCTTGGCTATTCCTCCTATGCTAAATGACAGCAGGAGTCCTGACTGTAGCACACACACACACACA